CATTTACATGAACCAGCAGAGCTCAGAAAACTCCAAGCAAAGGTGAGTCTGTTTTTAGTGTAAAACTTTAAATCGGACTTGTGTGTTTTCTTGTAGGTCTGCATGCTTGCTGTGCACGGACACACACTGAGTTGCAACATGTGGTTTAAAGACTGATTGGACGTTGTCCAGCTGACTCGCATGTTTACCTCATTCATTCATGCTGGATAAGGGCACTGTTTTCTGCACATGTTGTATTTAAGTCAGCTGGTGTAAACAAAGTGTTAAAGCTGCATGTATGAGCTGTGTTCTTTTAAATTCGCTGTGTCAACATATCTTATCTGTGTGTCGATGTGTCAGTGCTCTCAACAGGAAGTGTTCCTCTCCTCCCCCCTTAAAAAAATATGTGTTGCAAAGAAAGTCCAGCTGTTTCCCTCCACTATTATTTGTCATTTTTCAAAGTTTGCAGCACATTTGTTCACCTCAACATTATATTCATGACAGATGAATACTGAACTTGTGTTCAGACTGACTGAGGTTTTCTCATATAAATGAGGTCAGTAGCAGCATGCTTGTGGCTGAGGAAGACAATAAAGCAGTTTTTTCTTTAAAAATAATCAAAAGTCTCCACAGTGCCTTTACCATCCAACAGGTCTGAACCATGTGTTACCTCTGAGTGAGTTTTTGAATGTTACATTTGCAGCTGGATTCACAGACGAAAGCTGCTGCTCGGATTTGATCTTGTTCCAGTAGAAGTGAGCGCATTGCTCCAGTTCTTGGTGGACTTCACTGGTTACCAGCAAACTTCCGAATCAATCCTAAGATTTTGTTGCTTAATTTTAAAACCCTACATGGTTAAATGCCAAATTACACTTGTGATCGTTTAACCCTTTATGAGCCTGATGGGTGTTTGAGATCCTCGTGACCAGAAGTGATTGCCCAAAGGATCACCATCATTGTCTTTTTTCCAAACTACAAACCTTTTTATTATCTTAAGGTCTTCATCTTCAGTGTTTTTTTGTTTTTTTGTTTTCTTTGTGGTTAGTTTTATGTTGTTCTTTCACTTTCTGATGCTGGCAGTTCTTTTTTTCTTAGTTTGTTTTCTTGTTTGGTAGATAAATGAGTGACCTGATGGTACATGGACCTTTCATAAAGGTGTGGAGCTGATGAGATGGAGAACCCTGATTCTGAGTGTGAACTCAAATCTATAAATCTTTCTGTAGAAGGTGATGAAGGTAATACAAAGTGACAAAACTAGCATTTATTATTTAAGTGCTTTTTTTTGCAAACTAA